CGATGATTTACGGTATTAAGCGCACAAAGTAAGAGTGAAGAAGCAACCTTTTATGCAGTTAATCTAATTACTTCAAGTTTGGTGCGAAAACGCATGATCGCACCGGCTCGCCTGGTGCGTTCCAGCCTAGGTTTCGACGAATGCTCGCTTTTTGAAAAAGTGAAAAATTCAAAAATTTCAGTTTTTCACTAAAAAGTGGAAATGTCGCTAGCAGCAGTCGTTCGTCAAAAAATCCAAATATGTTAATGAACTGGATGTTGGGAGAGAATGAGAACAGTCATCCGCTACACTCGTTTCTAAGTTTGCGGTAAAGTTGAGTATTGCTCATAAACACCTGCAAGGAATTTCACCTCCAAGTCGAATTAAGACCACGCATGAAATTAAAATACCCCAGCGAAATTTCAGTCTTGCACCTTATCCGGTAAATGAAATATCCACTTCGCTACAAATATCTTTGAAGTGCTTTAAGTCGTAAAGCAAGTGAAAATCGGAACTCAGTTTAGGTATACGATTTTCCACGTGGGTAATAAACATGCCAACAAAATTTAGCCACTGTTTTCCGACTAGTTTTCGAGTTAAGACAGTGCCAAGTGAAAACTTTGACGTGATCGTACATGCTGCACAAGCGCACCCGACAGCTGAATTTGAAATCCTTAGCTCGTACATGCACAGAGAATATCCCTGCAAAGTTTCAGTACTGCACCTTGCCTGGTTCACGAAATCGTTTCCCTCCGAAGAAATCTTGCATATTTTCGGGGGTCCATACGCGAGGTTTAAGCGTGTGTGAGCAAAAATTTTAAAACTGGAGGATGGCACATGAGATAGGAAAATATATCCAAAATTTCAGCCTCCCAGCCTTTCATGGTTGCTGAGATGAAAGTGATTGATAGTTCACTCGCTTCCGAACACACACGCATACACACACAGACGATCTCTCGGCAATATGCGTTTTTCCTTGCCGTGGCAGCGCTATAGCGCTGCACAGCAAAGATGCACAAGAAGTAGTTTTGTACGGAACTTTAAAAATTCGTGATATAGGCAGCACTTTTTCATCTGCTAGCAAAGAAAGAAGTACTAAAGGGTGGTAGTACAAACAGCAGGTAGATGAAAATTGCATGAAACATTCCCTTATTCTGCGTATTCATGGGGGGCTAATTAGAGAAACTTAGGGGTCCCTACCGCCATTGACTTGTCACAAACTACACTGAGTAATATTGCTGCAGGAGATTCGCCAAGGAAGCGACGAACAAGCGCTTAGAAAATCTGTCGAAGCATACGATGATACGATGGCCAAGTAAGAGTTATGAAGATCAGTCTGGCTCGCAGCATTTAGGTCATCAGCACGTTTCTGTTGGAACTGCTCACATCCGCTTTGAAGCATTTCAGTGTTGACAAAAAATTAGCCGTGAAAAATCACGTGAAGGTGACCATTACGTCAGTGCTCACATAGCACCTGTTTTCTTCGTTTAACAGATAATGTTAACACACTTTGCGTTGCAATTCTACCCGCTGTAATCGAACTACAGGTGCAATAACAGATCTTGAGTTGCTCAATGAACTGACGCTCTTTTCTGCTGCGAAGTACTCATTTTTGTGCATTTTGCGCAGCAA